GGGGTCCCGGCAGTCACTGCCCCACGGAGCAGTGTGAGGGCATCGTGACAGCCCTGCCCCGTCCTCTCCATGGGGTTTTCCCCCCCATAGACCCCTATGAGAACAGCCCTGTCCTGTCCGCCTATCCTGGGTCCCCACCCCATAGAGCGCTGTGGGGACATGCGGACAGCCCTGTCCTGTCCCGCTACCCAGTGCCCCTGGCACTAAGAACGGTGTGGGGACATGGGGAGAGCTCTGTGCTGTCCACCTACCCACTGTCCCTGCCCCTTAGAGCAGTGTGGGGACATGGGGACAGCCCTGTTCTACCCCTCTTTCCAGGGTCCCTGCCCCACAGATAGTGGAGACACAGCCCTGTCCCTCCTCCCTGTGTGTCCCTGCCCCTTAGAGTGGTGTGGGGACATGGGAACAGCCCTGTCTTGTCCCCTCCATAAGGTCCATACCCCCCAGGCTGACCAGACTGGGGTGTGAGACCCTGGTTGAGATCGGGGTCCCTCAGGCTGTGTTGGGGTGTCCCCCACCACCCTGAGGCCACCCAAACCACTCACCCCGCTCTCTGTGTCTCCCCAAGGGAAGGTGTCCGCCAGCAGCATCCTGGCCAGCGCTCCCTCGGACAAAAACCTGGACACTTGGCGGGTGAGTGGGGACACAGGGTGACAAGCCACCCCGTTGGGAGGCTGTGGGAGATGGATGCACATTGAGGTGCCTCTTGCCATGATTTTGGGGCACACTTTTCCCTCTGCTTGGGGTTTTGGCTCGTCCTTTTCAGGTCTGGATGAAATCCAGGCAGGACCTTGGTGGCTTTGTGACCAGAGTGGGGTCCCCAAACCATGTCCCCATGGGGGCACAGGGGATGCTCAGCGGTGTCAGGCTGTGACCCCTCTCCTTGCCTGGGGGCAGGATTTGGGGTGCCGGACCACACGCTGCAACGTGGAGGTGCTGCAGGAGAGCACCTTGGTCTTCCTCGCCACCAAACCCCACGTCCTGCCGGGGGTCCTGCAGGAGATCTGTCCCGCTGTGGGACCCCACCATGTCATTGTCTCGCTGGCAGCCGGCATCAGCCTCCAGACCCTTCAGCAGGTGAGCCTCATCCTCTTTTTCCTCCTCTTATTCCTCCTCCTCATCCCATTTGCACCCAGGCCACGGAGAAGGACACATCACTGTGGCTCTGTCCCCACCTGGGTTGCATCCCAAGATCCATCCTCCTCCATCGGTGTCTCAGGGCACCCTTGGGTGCTTCCCAGAGCTGGCATCTCTCTCCCATCCCTGTTTTTCCCCAGTTTCTCCCCACCGGGACCAAGGTGCTGCGGCTCATGCCCAACCTGCCCTGCGTGGTGCAGGCAGGGGCAATGGTCTTCGCTCGGGGCGGTGGCGCCGGTGATGGGGAAGTCGCCCTCTTGAAGGACCTGCTGTCCTCCTGCGGACTCTGCGAGGAGGTCCCTGAAGCCTACATCAACATCCACACCGGCCTTAGTGGCAGTGGGGTGGCCTACGTAAGCATCGGTGGGACATGGGATGATGGCAAAAATCCCACCCATGTGGGGTCAGGGTCCCCCCATTTTGCCCCACTCATCCCCTCGATGATCTTCTCCCCCCAGGTCTACCTGTTTGCCGAAGCATTGGCCGAGGGAGCAGTGAAGATGGGCATGCCAGGAGGCTTAGCCAACAGGATCGCGGCTCAGACATTGCTGGTGAGTCAGTACCATCACTTGGGGACACCCAGCAAGGCCACATCTTGAGCACCATGTTCAGTTTTGGGCGCCACAGTACAGGAAGGACATTGAGGAGCTGGAGAAAGGTCCAAAGGAGGACAACGAAGCTGGTGAAGGGTTTTGAGAATAAGTCTTGTGAGGAGTGGCTGAGGGACTTGGGGTTGTTTAGTCTGAAGAAATGGAGACTGAGGGGAGACCTTATCACCCTCTACACCTTTCCGAAAGGAGGTTGTAGTGAGGTGGGTGTGGGTCTCTTCTCCCAAGTAACAAATGATAGGACAAGAAGAAATGGCCCCAAGTTGCACCAGGGGAGGGTTAGATTGGATCTGAGGGAAAACTTCTTCAATGAAGGAGTGGTTAAGCATTTGAAGGGGCTGCCCAAGGCAATGGTGAAGTCACCATCCCTGGAGGGGTTCAAAAAACGTGTGGATGTGGCACTTTGGGACATGGTTTAGTGGGCATGGTGGGGCTGGGTTGGTGTTGGCCTTGATGATCTCAGGGCTTTTCCAACCGTAATGATTCTGTGAGTCTGTGCTTCCATCCAATCCCTGGGCGAGGAGAAGGTGGGGTTTTTGGGAGGTCCCGTTCTCTCTGACCCACACTGGTCTCCCGTAGGGTGCAGCAAAGATGATGCTGGAGACGGGGGAGCACCCGGCGAAGCTGCGAGGAGACGTCTGCACCCCTGGGGGCACCACCATCTATGCCCTGCACCAGCTGGAGAAGGGCGCACTGCGAGCCACCGTCATGGACGCTGTGGAGGCAGCCACCAAACGGGCATGGGACCTGACCAAGGACTAGTTGCCCTGTCTTGTCCCCCATGGGGCAAGAGAGGACGATGGGACCAAACCAAACCTCTTCAGGGAGCAGGGGGACCCTGACACCCCCAGGAGACTCTGGGTGGGGGTTGGAGATGGTATGGACCTGTGGTCCACCCTATTCTGCAGGGCTGGGACCAAATAAACGTGGGCAGCATCATGGCACATTGGTGTTTTCTGGTCCCTTCAGTCCTGGGGTCACCTCCATGGGGGTCACCTCCACAGGGAGGTGACACCCATGGGCCAGCAGGGATGAAGCTGGTGCCAGGATGTGGGGCACAAGGGACCAGCCACATCCTGCGGCAGGAGGTGAGGACCATCGCAGGTGCCGTGAGGATGCCAAGGGACCTTGAGAAGTGGTTTGGGCGAGAAGTCAACCAGCCAAAAAACCTCCAATTCCCACCCTGACCAGGCACCGGCATCCCACCATGGTTCTGCAGATGGGTCTTGCTCCAGCAGCAAGGTGGTGGGATGGAAGCTCTCAGCCCTGGGGTGCTCCATGTCAAGGGAGGAGAAACTCAAAGCTTGCCTGTCTGAGAGGATCTCAAGCCTTTTGCAATGCCCTAATTAAGCTTTGTTTACCTCCTGGTAATTAGTGATGCTTTGTGTACCACTTTGAAGGTGAAACAGCTGCGTGTTGAGCTTCTGGATCCTACAGCTGGTGGTACCAAGCCAAGAGAGATCCTGTAGCCAAGGCATCACATCCATAGGCACCTTCTTGAGGCACCTAATTAATTAGCAGAGGTGATCAAAAGCTGGAGCTGGAGCTTGAGCCTGCTCATCTCTCCTGCCCATCTCTATGCTTCATCATGCAGCCGTGCAAGGGGCTCATGGCACCTACATGGTGCAAAGAAGCAGTGGTCCTCAAGGTTTCCAAACCACCTGGTAGCTCCTTGGTCTCCTTCTGCCTGTTTTTATCCCTGTCCCCAAGGTGATTTCTGCCCATCTCTCCGGAATATGCAGCCTTCTGATTTCATTCTCTGGTCGTCCACACCAGTCTTTGACATACCTGACCAAAAATCCTTGGCCAAATCCAGCTCCATCCCCCATGATGGGTGGTGGAGTCACCATCCATGGAAGCATTCAAAAAGCACATGGATGTGGCACTTAGGGACATGGTTTAGTGGGCATGGTGGGGTTGGGTTGACGGTTGGACTTGATCATCTTAGAGGGCTTTTCCAACCTTGATGATCCTGTGATGTGGCTGACCCCAGCCCCTGCCCGTTCCCCATCTCCATGTGTCCTCCTAAAGGCTTTTGAGCTCTGGGTTTTCAGGTTGTCCTTCAGAGAAGCGGCAGTTTCAACCCCAAAGTCAGGATGCTGATGACCTTCATAATTTTGCTAAGCGCTGATTTTAACAAAAAGGCCTTAAATTTTGATAATTTCATTTTTAAAAAGCCAGCACTCACTTTGAAAGCAAGCATCTCATCCTGCCTGGTGAGATCATGGAGCAGATGCTCCTGGATATCAAAACATATGGAAGGCAAGGAGGTGATAAGAGACAGCAAACATGGCTTCACCAAGGGCAAATCGTGCCCTCCAAAGGTAGTGGTCTTCTACAGTGGCGTGACTGCCTCGATGGGCAAGGGAAGAGCTATGGATGTCATCTACCTGGATTTCTGCGAGGACTTTAATGTGGTTCCACATATTCTTGCTGCTGGATTGGAGAGATATGGGTCTGAGGGATGGACTGTGAGGTGGATCAGGAGTTGGCTGGATGGCCACGTCCAAAGAGTTGGTCAATGGCTCAATGTCTAAGTGGAAACCAGTGTCCCTGAAGGGTCCATACTGGGACCAATACTTTACTAGTATCTTCACTGATAACATAGATGGTGCAATTGAGTGCACCATCAGGAAGTTCGCAGATGACACCAAGCCAAGCGGTGTGGTTGATTCCCTTGAGGGAAGGGATACCATCCAGAGGGACCTGGACAAGCTCAAGGAGTGAGCCCATGCCAACCTCATGAACCTCAATGAGGCAAAGTGCAAAGTCCTGTACCTGAGTTGGGGCAATCCCCAGCATCAGTACAGACTGGAGGATGGATGGATGGATGGATGGATGGATGGATGGATGGATGGAGAGTACACCTGTGGAGAAGGGCTTGGGGATACTGGTGGGTGAAAAACAGGACATGAACCAGCAATGTGTGCTTGCAGCCCAGAAAGCCAATCATATCCTGGGCTACATCCAAAGCAGCATGGCCAGCAGAGTGAGGGAAGGGATTCTCCCCCTCTGCTCCGCTCTGCTGAGACCCCCCTGAGCACTGTGTCCAGCTCTGGGGTCTCCAGCACAAGACAGAGATGGACCTGGTGGAGTGGGTCCAGAGGAGGCCATGACAATGGTCAGAGGGATGGGACAGGTCTGCTGTGAGGACAGGTTGAGAGAGTTGGGGTTCTTAAGCCTAAAGAAGAGAAGGCTCTGGGGAGACCTTCTTGGGGCCTTTCAGTATAGAAAGACAGAGCAATGGTTTTAAAGTGTCAGAAGGTAAATTTAAACTGGAGATAAGGAAGAAATTCTTCACTCTGAGGGTGGTGAGGCCCTGGCCCAGGTTACCCAGAGAAGCTGTGGGTGCCCCCTTCCTGGCAGCGCCCATGGCCAGGTTGGACGGGGCTTGGAGCAGCCTGGGCTGGTGGAGGTGTCCCTGCCCATGGGGGTTGGACTGGGGGAGCTTTAAGGTCCCTTCCCACCCAAACCATTCAATGTTGTGATGTTCTCACCTCCCCAAAGCAGGCCAAATGGTGCCGTGAGCGCACCCATGCTGACTTACATGAGAAGTCAAGACCACCAGCCCGGTACCTTCTGCTGAGCTTGGCAAGGTTTCTCCTCAAACAACTGAACAAGTCCTTCAATTCACAAACTACTGCTTGAAGTGAGCCCCATCCCATGCTCTAAAATGTTTGTGGGGTTTTTTTTTGTCGTTTTTTGGTGCAAAAGATTATAAAAATCAACAGAAATGTGGTTTTACATGATTACATCCCATTGGTGGGTCAAAGTCTGCATTTAAGCATGGTGGCATCAAGCTCCCAACACGTACCATTAGGAAACCAAAGCCAAGGGAGGAGCATGATGTGGGTGAGACACCACACAAGGTGGTGGCTGTGAACACGGCAGCAGCCAATCAGCAAAAATTGAGGTTGGTTGGGTTTGTGGGAGAAACAAATGTGTGTTTCTCCCCTAATCTGAAGTGTTTCTTGACGTTGGTTCTCCAGAGGAGTTTCACGATCAAACCTCAATTCCAAATTTGACTTTTGTGTGTTTGGTTTTTTTTTCCTTGCTGCTCTCTACATTCCCTGGCAGCCTCATTCATTGCCAAGTTAACCCAAGTAATAAAGTTAAAAATTCAACTTGGGGAGCAGCCACAGTGGCTTGGGCACCTTTCTGGCCCTGCAACATTAAATGGTGGGGAACACGATGGAGAAGACCACAGCGAGATGACACAACCGCATGGAGGTCCCTCTTCTGCCACCCCCCATCCTGCTGGGGTGGCTCTGTGTCACCGTTTACAGACGACAACCCCAAAGTGGGAATAAAAATCCATTTAATCTTCATAAACTCTGAAGCTGTGAGACAAAGACCCGACAAGCAAAAACACCCACCCTGCCTGCTGACATGGGGGACGGCAGCACTGACGAGTGGGTTTTTTTCCTTCCTCCTCTCAATAATTTGGCTGAGCAGGCCAAAATTTAATCAAAAACCAGGTCAAGAGCTGCTAAATTCACATCTGATGCCCTCCCCGCTCCCATCTCAACTCACAACACATGTCATGCTGGCAGCCGTCTCCCCTGTACCACGACTTGTGTCCTCCAGTCCCAGCTGCCCCAAAAACCCCTGGACGGGGGCCACCTCAATCCCCATCCCTGGAGCTTCACGAGGATGCTCAGACGATGGTACCTGTTTCGGCAGTTCTCCGTGGTCCAGGTGTCGTGGGAATTATGGAAGTGACACTCACTGGAGAGCTACAGCTTCTTGGATGCCACCCAAGTGTCCCTGTCCCAATCCAGTGCATGAAGAAAGTTGTCTTAAACCAGCTCCAAACCTCCCCAGTTTTACGGGACTCTGTTTTGGCAGCGAGAACGGCATCACCAGCTCCTTTCAGGGCTGTGGACCTGGAAGCCACCAGGAGTGCTCCCTGTCCAGGTCCACCTCAGCCCTGCTCCAAGATGTGGGGAACTGGTGTAACTTTCCCCCATCATCCCAGCTCCTCGCCCAGCACATCCCTCCCTCACCCCTTCTCCCCACAGGGTCAGGGGGAAGGGGAACCAGGCAGTGTGGGGGCACTCACCCCCTTCTAGCAATGCTGGCGACTACAGGGGCCACCCTCACTCAGTCTCATGGGATTTAAAAAATAGCACCTCCTAAATATACTTAGGGCGAGGAACGACCCTCGAATACGCAACGTAGAGGGGTTGTTCCTCAAAAAAATCCCTCCATTAGCCCTAAATTGTAGCCCCTCCTTAGCTACCTGAGGGTTTCCTGAGCCCCAGGGACTGCCTGTGACAGAGGGGCAAGTGGAGTTGGTAGCCACGAGGTCTTGCAGGTTGGCCCTGCCCTAAGAATGAGGGCTGGTGCCACGGTGCAGCCGCTGGGCCATGCTGATAAGGGAGCGGAGCTGCACCAGCTTCAGTGGCCCCACTTGCCGGGGGTCCTGACCCTCCAGCCAGCGCAGCGCCGTCTCCAGACCTTTGATGGCTTCCCGAGCCGTGGGTAGCAAGGCATCACCTCCATCCCCACCCCTTCGGCCACCCCCATCACCGGCAGCTGCTTCCTCCTCATCCTCCTCTGCCCTGCAACCCACAGGGCCTTCCTCCTCAACATCCTCTTCCCCATCGTCCTCCTCTGTACCCAGGGCTGCATCATCCAAGTGCAACCAATCGGCCACCTCCTCGGGGGCCAAGCGCTTGTAGGCCAACGCAGCCAAGTGGGTCAGGTCGCTAAAGACTTTGCTGTCCCCGCTGCCTTCCTCCCCATGTAGGGGGTCTCTG